ATGAGCTTATATCGTTAAAAATATCATCAGTAGACAAATTACAATGTAATTTCTTAATTATTGACATTTTGAAGCATATAAGCTTATCTTGTTGTTACACTCATCGAGACCTTTCATTTGAATAGTCACACGAATTTTTGATATATTTTATATATTTAACATATATTAGAAATATAATATATATAAAATATATGAAAAAATCATGTAGGTATTCAAATGAAAGGTCTCGATGAGTGTAACATCAGGATACGCTTATATCGTTAAAAATATCATCAGTAGACAAATTACAATGTAATTTCTTAATTATTGACATTTTGAAGCATATAAGCTTATCTTGTTGTTACACTCATCGAGACCTTTCATTTGAATACCTACATGATTTTTTCATATATTTTATATATATTATATTTCTAATATATGTTAAATATATATATATATATGAAAATGCATGTGGCTATTCAAATGAAAGGTCTCGATGAGTGTAACAACAAGATAAGCTTATATGCTTCAAAATGTCAATAATTAAGAAATTACATTGTAATTTGTCTACTGATGATATTTTTAACGATATAAGCGTATCCTGATGTTACACTCATCGAGACCTTTCATTTGAATACCTACATGATTTTTTCATATATTTTATATATATTATATTTCTAATATATGTTAAATATATAAAATATATCAAAAATTCGTGTGACTATTCAAATGAAAGGTCTCGATGAGTGTAACATCGGGATGAGCTTATATTTTAAAAAATGTCAATAATTAAGAAATTACTGAATTCACTCATCTGAATCTGTTTTCAATAGTAAATTCAAATGAATAAAAAATAACAAATTTAAATAAGTCCCGCGTAACAACGTCGCACTCCCTAGTCCACAAGAGGGCAGTACAATCAGTCTAACAAACTAGCTCAACAAAACAAAACTTGATCTAGTGATTTTTTGATTTAGTGAATATTTACCATGTTGTGGTGACTTGTGACGCTGTTTTCTGTCTATGTGCGTAAAACACAACACCGGCTTTAAAATAACCTGTGAAATATGTAACAAATTTATTAATTTATTTCAAGTTTTGTGAGAGTAAAAAAAATAATTTTTAGTTACAACCTTTGACATTAGAAAATAAAAATTATCTAATCAATAATGAATAATACCAAGAGGACCATCTATGTTGGTAATGTAAACATTTATAATTAACCTAAAAAATTAAAATTAATTAAACGTTTAATCGGGAAAAAATTATCTTGGCAGATATTTGATAATTTTAAAAATTTTTGTGACAAGTAAATTATGGAAAAAAAATTGACGTATAGAAATTTCAAAAAATAAAAAATGCAATTTTTTTAAAGCAATTTTTTGGAACAAATTTGTTTGTTTAAAAAAGTTAAAAAATTGTCTAGTGACTGCTAACTACAATGTCATTAGAAAAAAATTTACGAAAATTAATTTAGCAGATATTTAATAATTTTTAGAATTTTTTTATCAAATAAATTATGGTAAAAAAAATGAAAAAAAAAAATTGACATGTAGAAATTTAAAAAAATCATAAATGCAATTTTGTAAAAATAATTTTTCAGAAAAAATTTATTTGTTAAATAAAATTCAAAAATTATGAAGTGACTGTTAACTTTAACCTCATAAAAAATTTTAGTTTTTATAAAATGAAATTGTACCATTGAAAAATTGGCATTAACTTGACAATTAAAAAAATTTTTTTTTAATAAACAATACTGAAAGCTAACTGTCAATTTTTTTTAATTTATATAAAAAATCAATTACACAATAAACAAAAAATTTTTTCTAAAATTATTTATTTTTATTGAAACAGGAGGCTTAGCTGAAGAAGTTGATGAAAAAATTCTTCATGCAGCATTCATACCATTTGGCGAAATAATAGATATTCAGATACCACTTGATTATGAATCAGAAAAACATCGAGGATTTGCATTTATAGAATTCGAATTAGCTGAAGATGCTCTGGCAGCTATCGATAATATGGTGGGTATTAATTTCTGGATATTTTAAAAGCATGCTGGTTATTAATTGTCCTAAAGTTTTCAATTAAAAATTTTTTAGCTTAATCTTTTATAATACTAACGTGAGCCGACGTTTTTAATTTTTTTCTCATTTATTAAATTAAAATAAAAAAAATACTTCAAAAAAATAGCACTTGGAAATTTTCAAGTTTTTTACAAATAAAAATTAAAAAAAAAATTCTAAAAATTTTTACGTCGGCTAATTTAATTTTCATAATACTAATGTTAGCCGAAATTTTTATTTTTTTTTTCATTTATTAAATTAAAATAAAAAAAATACTTCAAAAAAATAGCACTTGGAAATTTTCAAGTTTTTTACAAATAAAAATTAAAAAAAAAATTTTTTTAATAATTTTTTCAATAAAAAAAAAATTCTAAAAATTTTTACATGGCTAATTTAATTTTCATAATACTAATGTTAGCCAAAATTTTTTATTTTTTTTCATTCATTAAATTGTAACTAAAAAATATTTTTAAGAAATTTCACTTATATAAATTTTCAAGTTTTTTACAAATGAAAATTTTTTTTTAATTTTTTTGTAAAAATTTCTTCAATGAAAAAAAAATTCTAAAAATTTTTACATGTCGGCTAATTTAATTTTCATTCTTTTACAATACTAAAATTATACTTTAATTCTTACCAATTGAATTTTTATTAAATTAATAATAATTATCTATACATGTTGCAGAATGATTCAGAATTATTTGGTCGCACAATACGTGTTAACATAGCTAAACCACAGCGAATTAAAGAAGGTTCATCAAAGCCTGTTTGGGCAGAAGATACTTGGCTGCAAGAGCATGCTGGTGAAACTCTTAATAAAGACAATTCCACAAGTAACATTCTTACGACCCCCGTAAAAGAAAAGCGTAATCCACAGGTTTACTTAGATATTAGTGCTGGAAAACATGAATTGGGCCGTATTATAATAATGTTACGAGCAGACATTGTTCCTAAAACAGCTGAGAATTTCCGTTGTCTCTGTACTCATGAAAAAGGTTATGGTTATCAAGGAAGTATATTTCATCGGATAATTCCTGACTTTGTATCCTTTTTTATAAAATTTAATGTGATATTAAGAACGTTCATGCGCTATGCTAGAGTTAAATAGGTACTAGCTTTTGATGAACTTTATTGGGGTCTTGAGAAAAATTTTAAAGTACATCAATAATCTTACAATGATTAACTAGCAAACTGCACTATTACATTTGACTGTCAAGATTTACGGATTATGAATAAGAAAACTTTAACTTAATGATTTTTTGATATTTATGACTCTATACTTACTTTAAGTACTTACTTTTTGAATTGTATTTTGTACACCAATAATTTTTTTAACGATATAAGCTCATTCTGGTGTTACACTTATCGAGACCTTTCATTTGAATACCCACACGAATTTTTCATATATTTTATATATTTCACAAATATGAGAAATATCATATATATAAGAAATATATGAAAAAATCATGTGGGTATTCAAATGAAAGGTCTCGATGAGGGTAACATCAGGATGAGCTTATATCGTTAAAAATATCATCAGGAGACAAAATACAATATCATTTCTTAAAAATTGACATTTTTTAAGATATAAGCTCATTCTGATGTTCTTCTCATTGAGACCTTTCATTTGAATACCCACACGAATTTTTCATATATTTTATATATTTCACAAATATGAGAAATATCATATATATAAGAAATATATGAAAAAATCATGTGGGTATTCAAATAAAAGGTCTTGATGAGGGTAACATCAGGATGAGCTTATATCTTCGAAAATATCAATAATTATGAAATCACGTTGTATTTTGTTCACTAATGATCACAATATCATCAAACTTATCAGAACTAAAAAATATAAATTTATATCTACTATTAATCCCTGCACATGAACGTCCTTAAATAAATATAGAAATTAATCTTTAACATACAAGCCAATAACGAATGAAAATGAAAAGTATTTCCTTAATTATTTATAAAATAGATGTGTCAAGGAGGTGACTTCACAAATCATAACGGCAAGGGTGGTAAGTCAATCTACGGTAACAAATTTGATGATGAATCGTTTGAATTAAAACACACTGGACCAGGAATATTATCTATGGCTAACTCCGGGCCCAACAGCAATGGTTCGCAATTTTTCTTATGTCTCGCTAAAACTGATTGGCTTGACAATAAACACGTTGTTTTTGGACACGTGCTCAGTGGACTCGATGTACTAAAAAAAATGGAAAAATATGGGAGTAAGGGGGGTACAGTCTCGCAAAAAGTCGTTATAACTACATGTGGAGAGTTGTCTTAATAAAATATAATTTATTATTTAAAATAAAAACAGATTTTTCGATAATTTAATTTCCAAGTATAAAATATTAGTTCATTTTTTTTGGGTTATCATATTTATGGTTCTTTTTTAAAAAACATCATATAAAAGTATTGTTTGAATAATTTAGTTATATATTGTTCTTCTTTAGTGGGCCACATCCCTTGAAGAAATCCAATATGACCACCGTGAGATGTTATTAAGAAAGCAATATTTTTGCATTTCTCTACCTCTTTTAATGGTATTACTACACAAAAAAATAAATTTACTTGAATTAATAGAAAAATTCTTGAATCAAGAAATAATAAATTATTTCTATAGCATTCTAAAAATTGTACTGCAGATAATTTTTAATATTAATTTATGTTATTTAATTTCTTAATTCATATTTTTTCTTTTTTGTGATCAATAATATTCAAAAAACTAAATGTGTGGATAATTAATAATAAAAAAGAAGTATAACTTCTCAATGATTAATGATAGTAATAATATCAATCCGAACAAAAACAGTTTCACTGTAAAAAAATCGCGCCAAGTCCACGTTCATAAGACTATTAAGAAAAAAAAATTTTGTTTTCTTTACAAAAAGATATAAAATAAAAAAATAAAAAAATCCAAGT